GACATTAATTTAGGACTCAACTTGATCTCATATGACCTCATCTTAACTTGAGCATGTCTGTAAAGACCCTATTTCCAAATAATATCACATGCACAGGTTAAGACTTCAACATATCTTTTTAGGGGAAGATAATTCAATCCACAGCACTCAATAAATTCTTGTTTAGCCGTAATAATAATCACTATCTTTTGTTGGGTTTTCACAATCCCAATATGTTTTACATATTATAAAACAATTTTGGAGTAGTGGGCTTGTGAAATCAAGAGCCATTTTATGATGCTCTTGGTCATAAACCTATTACTTCTAAGCATCAAGGGATGCATGCAATATGATTGGTAAACAAGTCCAGGATCACCACACTCAGTACTCACGAGAGCCTGGATTCCTACCATAATCCCATTGAGATTTTGTTTCACACAATATAGTAGAAAAAGATACTGTATTAGTGCCCAGACACACAGCAATAGGATCCAATGGGTTCCTTCGGGATAAGTAATTAGCAAGAGGAATCAGTCCTATGCCTGGACCTTGGCCTGGATCACAGTTGGGTGGACTGCAGAACCAAGGCTATGTGTTGTACCTGTCTTATCTCACCGTGATAAGTCAGTGAACTGGCTGGTTAGCATTAGGGATCGCCATTGACCCTCGAGAAGGGAGCTGAGCTCATCACTGCCGTGTCCTTAATAAGGTTCTAGGTTCAGTGTGAGCACTTAGATGCTTACTGCACGCTGGCTGAGGCTGAGGGACTAAAGGGTACCTCCAATGACACTTTCCACTTGTTGGCATCACACATTTTGTTGGCATCACACCTGCTCAAAGGTGTGATGTAGGTTAGCAAAGGATCCTGATGATGGCTGGGTTAGGATTAATCCACTGCCAGATATCTTGTCTTAGTTCATAAAACTCTACATACATACACACACATCCCACTTTCCCCTACACAGACATAATCTAAGATGTCAGTTAAGACATCATTATTCTGAAGCAGTGGTTTTCCAAAGTTTGAATAATTTCTTGACAGCACAACCGTTTAATGCAAGGCTCGATGTGGAAAGTCAGTGTATGACATCCTGTAGGGAGCTTAGTAGGGTCCTGATGGTACTGAGGTGCCTGTCCTTCCTTTCCTTTTCTGTCCTCCCCACACTCCACCACCTGTGGCAACTCTGGAGAAACTCATTCACTACAGAATGCAGACCTGTGCTCTCAGCATCCCTAGAGGAAGTTACTCATTAGCAGCTTTGCAAAACCTGTGCTCAAGTGGATGCAGATTTCTTCCCAAGAGCCCCAACCCTTCTTCAGCTCATTGTGGATCCCTCATGCTCCCTTACCACCCATCAGAGCAAACAACTCCTCCTTCATGCCCCCTCTTTATGCCTGCATTGGAAAGCAGGGAACACTTAGAACTCTTTGCAGTCACATAAACGTTCTGGCCTTGACTTCTGGTGCAAACTTCCTCTTTCAGCAGCAAGACTTTCCTGGCTGGCAGACACCCTGCCTCCTGTAGCATCACCCTCCCTCCTTTATTTCTGTCCCCTCCACAGGGCTGGTCACCATCCTCTAACTTAATAGATTTCCTGCCATATAATTGAAGACAAGTTGAATAGTCATTATCATCATCATAATTATCTCTGAGCATCAGAAGGCAATACTGCTGATATGATGTTTGAAAAGAAGGAAGGAGAGTTTAAAATTCCCAGGAAGGAAAGCGAGGGCTCCCCTGACTTTGTGTTTCCTTTTATTCTGCCTCAGAGATCAGTGCTCCTATACTGTTCACCTGAATAGGCAAGCTGGCCATGACAAGCTGTCACCTGCCTGTCCAGGGTGGATCTTCTGGAAGGCTTGGCCACCTGCTGGGATAGAGGGGTTGGTGTTGACAGGCCAAGTTCTGTGTTCAGTGAGGCCCAACAGCGCAAGGTGGCAGGAGGGCTTGAGGCTCCTCGCCAGTGGACCTGGCACTGCCACTTTACATGCAAGAGGGAGCAGCTCAACAGCTGTCACTGACAGCCCCTGGGGTCTGCTCCAGACTTGGCAGGGGAGGACACCTCCAGACTCCCAAATCGCTCTTTGAAATTCAGAAGAACTACACTTTCATCTCCCCCCCACCCCCCCCACACACACAAACACTCACAAAAGATAAGCAAGTCCCAACTCTCTTCTACTCACAGACATATACTGCCAAGTTTTTTTTCTGTCTCTCAGTCTTGCACACACATACTGATAAGTTCTCACTCACATAGAATCTCATTTTGTGTCTCTCTCTCTCTCTCTCTCTCTCTCTCACACACACACACACACATACACACACACACAGTCATACTAATTAAACTCTTGCTCTCTCCTACTTAAATTAACCCAGATATTTTGAGAAAGCAAAAATCCCCTCTCCTGGCTGAGCTCAGTGGCTCAAGCCTATAGTCCTAACTATTCAGGGTACAGAGACTGAGAGGAACATGGTTCAAGGCCAGCCTGCACAAAAATTTCACCAGACTCCATTTCAACCAATGTCTGGCCACAGTGGTACACACCTATCATCCCCAGCTACTTGGGGAAGCAAAAATAAAAGAATGGTGGTCCAGGCCAACCCAGGAATAAAGGGAGACCCTATCTCAAAATAACCAGCACAAAAGAGGCTGGCAGATTGGCTCAAGGGGCAGAGAGCTTGCCTAACAAGTACAAGGTACTGAGTTCAACCGTACTGCCAAAAACAAAAGCAAAACCTGGTCCTCTGGGGGAACCCAGACCATCTCAAGGTTTGGTAACAAGTCCTCCCCTAAGGGTGACATACCACAAGAGTCCCTTGACCTACCAGACACTGACCTCCAGGTGTTTGAGAATTCCTGGTTCACTGGATGAGTTTTTATCTCACTTCTCAACCATGAGCACTATGCTGATAAAGCCAGTAAGCGCATTCATTTCTGGGGGATGGTGAGAGCCAAGCATTCTGTTGCGGAGTAGCCCAAACCTGCCCTCCAGGCATTTGTCATATTGCTGGCATTTAGCTGAGGACATCTCCCACCACAAAAGCCTGCCAGCATCCTCAGGGGAAATCAGGACTGTCTCCTTTGCAGAGAGTTGGATGTGTGCCTGGGGAGGTCCAGGCCAGGTTGCCTTTATTCCTCCTAAGCTCTAGGTAGGAAACCAGATAAATATGCACTTTGTGATTTGCTCTTTTTTTTCCCATCAGATTAACCATTTATACATTTTAAGATATTTTTGCTAACATCCACCATGTGTTTTTGGTGTTTGGACAGCCTGTAAGAATTGTCAGGTTAAAAATAGCCTCCTTCAGCTGAGGCATGAGGCCAGGGAGGAAAGGAAAGAGAGAGCTGCTGTGCACACTCTGGGCAGTCACCACTGCCCAGTGGCTTCAGGTGTCATAGATTATGGAATAATACAGAGTGCAGGCATAGAATGTGTGCTCTGGGGGTGAAATCCTGGTATCTGGCATGAAGAATTGAAAATGAGGATCATATTTGTCCAAGAGTGATGAGCTTCAGAGGCAGTCTTGGCAAGGGTCTCACCTTAATACCTATAAGCAGCCCAGTGCCTGGCAGACCTTACCATTCCCTGCTTCTGCTCACCTCCCTCTTCTTCCCCTTTAGGACTCCTGTGCTTCTGCCACCTTGGATTGCTTCCTCCTCCTCTCAATTTGCCTAGTGAACTTCTACTCATTCTCTAGGGATGAACATGATAAAAATAAGAGTTAACACATATTCACTACTTGCCCTCTATTCTAGACCTATATAGCTATTAGCCAGTCAACCCTCACCATGACCTTTCTATACAGGAGCTAAGGTGAAGCATGCACAGAGCCGTTGGGCTACTTGCCCTGACCACACTGGTGGAAAGGGGCAATATTTGTGCCTAAAGTCATCTACAGGCTCCAGGAGCTCTTAACCACCACAGGACATTGTCTCTCTGATGTCTCCTGGCCACCTTCCTTGACCCTGACTGTGTCCCCTGATTGGAGTTGCCTCCAGTTCTCAGAACTCCCTGTTGTCACATTCATCTTCACCTTTCACTTGTATTAACTACATGTGAAGTCCCTGTTCTCTGCCATCCCACTGTCCTGTGCAGCTTGAGGGCAGGGACTCTGGTAACTCATCTGTGGGACCCCAGCTCCTCCTCAAATAGGGCCTGGCTCAAAGCAGTGCTCAGTGCTTATTTGCTGATAGGATGAATGAATAAGTAGATGGGTATCTGCTCCTTAGGGAAACAACACTAGCCAAAGTCTGGCAGCCAAGCTCAAGGCCAAGCAGAGAGCCAAGTTAGATATGCCCAGTACAAGGCTGGTGGACAAAATGGAGACCCAAGGGTCTCCATTTAGAATCATGGATTTCCAGCCTCCTGGATCCTGACCTCAGCTGAAGAGCAGGCAGGACAGTCAGCATGTGGACAGGCCACTGCCTTGGGCCCATCACACTCCAGTGCAGCCCAGTTCTGTGTGCAGCCTCCAGAGTTAGGAAAATCTTTCCCTGAGAAGTGAAGCAAATGGAAATGGGGCACAGAGGCAATCCCAGTAGAAGGATCCTTGGGAGGTATGCTGCATCACTCCTCTTCCTTCTTGGTTTCATTCTGTTTCCTCCTCAGCCAAATGATGTAGCTTTTGTATTGCTATGGGACAAAGAAACCACAACTGGCCTCTTACGTAGCTGATGTCATGTGGTTTTAGTGCATTTGGGGCAGTTATACCCCTTCCGCCCCCAAGAATGACATTAGAATAAGTATGTAGGAGATAGGAGGATAAAGTCCCAGTACTTGCTATTCTCTTGTGTGTGGTGTGCCCACATATGGTATGAGACTAGCATGGGCCATGCTGACACCCTTAAACTCCTGTGGATAGGCCCAGCAATGTTGCCTGCCATGGGTCAAAGACTATACTGGTTGTCCTAACTTAACAGATATGGGAGTGGGGGAGTAACGTGCATGGTTTGTTTCTTTTCACATGCTTTCAACCAGAAAACTGATGAGCAGACTGACCAGGTTTCTCTTTCTTCCAGGGAGGGAAGATCCCCGTGAGATGGACAGCTCCAGAGGCCATTGCTTACCGCAAATTCACATCAGCCAGTGATGTCTGGAGTTATGGAATTGTCATGTGGGAAGTCATGTCATTTGGAGAGAGACCCTATTGGGATATGTCCAACCAAGATGTGAGTGTCAGCAGCACCCACCTGCCACAAACACTCATCCAAGGTCCCCATATGCAGTGGATAACAAGTCCTCTTATCTGATTTCAGCTCAAGGTCTCATAACTTGAACTTGAAGTGTTCAGGGCAGGGGATACAGGGACACCCTTGGTATGAAGGTTTGAGTTAATCATAGAGCCCAGCATGGAAGACGACAGTCCCAAAATGGTGCCCAAGCCATAGATTCCAACTCCAGAGACAATGAGTCGGCTATGAACAGTTGTGGACCATGAATAGATCTGGCCCAAACTAAGCAGGAAATTCTACCCTAGGACCTAGAGCCTAGGTTCTGTTTTCCTCTGTCATACTCATGAAGGGAAAGAGTGCTGGGTCATGGCCTGGGTTCCGATCCTGTTCTGCCTCTGACAGTTTCTGTCTGGGATTCACATCCTCAGCTTTAAAGAGATCTGCTGCAAAAGACTCTCCTTCCAAGAGAACTCCCTTTTCTCAGAGCTTGGGTTACTATCAGTGAATAGGAAGCTGAAAAAGCTTCCCAAGACTGGTTAACTTCAGATGGGGGCCGCAGAAGCAGGGGGCCTTGTCTGAGGGGGGTTCTTCAACCTCCCTCTAGGCTCCTCTTAAGAGACAAGGATAGGAAAGAGAAGCATCATCAGAGATGCTGTAAGCAAAGGTATTTTGGTGGTGTTTCAGATGCGAATCTTTGTTCAATATTACTAAAGGTAAGGATGCCCTTTTTAGGATGATTTGCTTTGATAAGGCTCCAATCAAAAGTCCTATGTAGATTTCAATACTGCCTTTGACCACCTGCCCTCCCCCCTTGGAGCTGAGAGAATTACAGTTTGCAAAGCCTGCAATACCTGCGATCTCTGCTTTTTCTGTCATCACCACAGGGAGGGGAAGTTCTTAACTTTCCTAGTTTCCAGGCTGGAGGAGACAGGGCTGTCCCTGGTCCAAATGTGGGTCATTCAAGCAACCAAGCACACTGTAAGCACCTCCATATCTGGATGGACCCTGAAGCCCTTGTATACTTGTGAAGACTGCCTTTAGCCATCCCCCTGTCCAGCCTGAGGATTAGAGCCTTGGGCATTTCCTCAGAAGATTGAGAAAGGAGGCAGTTTCCCAATGTGATGTGGGAAGAGGAGCTGGGGCACTTCTGGGACAGTACTCCCTGTTCTGTGGGAACAATGTTCCCGCCCAGAGTGGGTGAAGTGGCTGCATCTTTAACCAGGTCCTGATGCCAACCTTGGGTGGATCTAGGCCCTCTATTATCTGTGATTATCCATGCCTCGCCTCTGCTCCTGTAGCGTGTCCAATCAGTAAGTGGCAGTCTTGACGCCAAGGCTGCTTTTCTGAAACCAGCTGCACACAGGTTCCATCCATATGTCTGTGTAAGAAATGTTAGCCAGACAAAGCAGACCCGTCTTGTCCCACCCAGAGACCTTAATCCGATTAAGGTCAATTCAGCACACATAGAATGGATTACAAAACTGACAGGCAAGATGTGACATTCAAGATATTCTCCGTCAATTCATTCACCTCTGCTGAAAACAAATACAATTTCTGATATTAGATTTTCAAATTATTCATTCAACAAACAGCCTTTGCATGGTAACTGTGACTAAGTATTGTGCTTGCTGAATCTATTCTTGAGGAGTTTATAGTCCAGTGATATATAGATAGGGCTGTGGGAACATTTGGAGGAAGGGAGCTTCCCGATATTTGATGTTAGAGCTAGGTCTCAGAGGAAATAAGTACATCTGTAAAGTAGCAGTTTATTCTCATTTTGTTGGATTGCTCCAAAATAAAACCCGTAAGCACTGTTCCAAGTTCAAGTCTGCTTCTAATGCAAGAGGAGAAGTGGCTTTATGCCCATTCAGAAAGCCTTTTCAACCTGGCCTGGGAGAAAGCCAGGAAGTGGGGGGCACTCCCAGTGGCTGGGCTTGCAGCTTGCAGCCTCACTCATCAGAAACCTCTGAGGTGGTGGCAGTAAAGGATTTTACAGATGACAATTGAAAGGCTTTAAGGAAGAGAATTGCAGAGGCAAGTTGGAGTGCTGGTAATTGGGCTTCTGGAGCCCAGGAAGGTCTTTGAACATGTACAGAGAGAGTTTGTCAGCCAGACAGAGCAACTTGGAAGTTCTGCTGCTTGGATCTGATTGACAGAGATAATGAGAGTGGCAGTGTCTGTGGAGAGGAGCTGTGGTTTTATTGAAACATCAGAGCTCAACTTAACCCGCTCTGCCCTGGTTCCTCCACAGCTCTGAGCTCCTCCACTTCACTCTCTCCAGTGCAAGGTCGAGTAGGCAGCACCTGCCACCCAGCTCACTAATGGGAAACACACGTCAAAAGGCAGCCTGGAGCCCTCCCTAGGAACATGAGGGAGGATAAGGGAGGGGCCCTGCTCACTTCCCAGAGATGCACCGGTCACCTCATATAGTACCTAAGAGCACATGGAGTTAGACCACCAGCACCCGGTCCCCACCCTGCCCTATACCTATTGTCTTTGGGGTCAGATGAACAAAGGCAGTGTCTTCCCACCTCTTCTCTCTGAACCTTCAGTTTGTCCTCAGGATGTTTATGTACACTGGACTTAGGATGGCCAAGAGTGAGATACAGGGTCCAGTCACCTCAACTGCTTCGCTCATCCCCACTACACTCACCTTCACTCTCCTTCCTCTCTGGAAATGCCATCTGATCTCACTCTAATCTCTACTCTTCTGAGTGTCCATATGTCTAATCCTGCTACACCAAGGAATGGGCCCAGAATTCCTTCCAATTGTCACCCCTGCTAGGCAGGTCACCTTGTACCCCCAACCTTAGGTCACATCTTCCCGTACAGTTCAAACATGGTCACTGGTATTTAGAGCAGTCAGATGGCCAGACTTCAGATGTTTCTCCACAACCTCTCCCTGTTTTACACACCTGCTAGTGAGGAAAATATGACAGAGAATGATCTCAAAATCCCATTAGAGGACTAATACTATTTTTTGAATATCATGATATTTTAATTTGACTGTAAGTTATATACACTGAGAATTAGAAAACACCCAGTGCTTAAATAGAGAATAAAAATCTTCAAACCTATAGTACTTCAGTCAAAGACAAGTGTATAAATGCTACCCAACAACATTTAATGGCCTGAGTATTTTTTCTTTGAGGTACAGGGTTGTGTTAGCCAGATTTTTTATTGCTGTTACAAAATATCAGAAAGAAAGACTTTGAAAGGAAGAAAGGTTATTTTGGCTCATGGTTTCAGAGGTCTCATTCATGGTTGGCTGACTCCATAGCTTTTAGGACTGTAGTGAAGCAGAATATCATGGTGGCAGTAGCCTGTGGCAGAGGAGTCTCCTTACCTCATGAAAGCCAGGAAACAAAAAAAGAGAAAGAGGCCAGGGTCCCAATATCCCCTTCAGTGCATGCACACAATTATCTGCTTTCTTCAGTGAGATCACACCTCCTAACAGCTGCATCACTTCCTAATAACACCACAAGCTGCTAATCAGGCCTTGAGTACATGGCCTTTTGGGGGACATTATGGATCCAGAACATAATGAGGGTAAAGACTTTTTACATGCCAGAAGGATCAATGTTCCCAGAGTATCAGCTTAAGTAACAGCAAATATATATATATATATATATATATTTCTAGAAGAAATAGCATAAAGTGGGAAGTGATGTCCCAGTTTGCAAACATGAACATGGAAGAATGTTCTCCTGGTTAACCTCTATCTCCAAAGGTGAGGATGGGATGTGTTATTTACTAAGTCCTCACTCTGGGCTTTGTGACTTCAAACACTATCTTCTGAGCCCTCCACAATGAGCAGTAGTAGCTCCGTGTCTGCCAAGCAGAAGTCCACTACAGCAGACACGGCAGTAATGAAACCCTGTGTGTGAGGAGGATTCTTTCTACTACTTATCTGTGTGGTGTTGACATGCATCATCTCATTGTATCATACAATCTTTTTAATGGGTCTGTGTTTCTGGCTGACCTGCTTAGGAAGGAGGAACTAGTAGCTATATGATGTCCTCTTCAAAAGAAAGTAAGCACAAACAGAAGAAAAACAAAAACAAACGCCAAGACAGTCTTCAACAAAATCCCGCGAGGTGGTATGCAGAAGAGATAACAAGGGGGACATGGCGATTTCTTTGTGAGCTTATAGGCAGAAGACATGGCACATGAATGGGTGCCCCGTTCTCTTGCTGCTACGCTAGGAGTACTCAGATCAGCCGTGCACCGTGGTGCTATGCTCCTGCAGAAGGGCTCTAATCCCAGTGCTCTTTTTCTAGGGCAGAGGGAAGAATCACCTCATCAGTGCAGAAAATTAGTGTTTTGAGCTAATCAAACAAATTGAGCAGAGGAACCAGCAGTTTAGGGGAATGCTAACACCAGCTGCCTTGTACTAGAACACTTTGGGGCCCGTTAATCACATGAGAAGTGGAATGTGGATGCTAGCCCCTCCTAGCTTGCCACTAGACAACGTAGAAAGAGCCCCTGGGGCCATTCAATGGGTTATCCCACATGTCTTCTTTTACACTTGTCTCCACAATGAGTGGGAGACTCTGGACCCCTCAATCTGGTTGCCTGGAAGGAGCTGGAAAAGGGCTCAGGTTAGTTAGCAACCCAGGCTGATAGGAATGATGGATTACATAGTTTAGCACCACACTTCTGTTTCATGCCAGGAAGACACTGAACAGCCCCAGGGGGTGATCTTCAGGCTGAAATTACGATGGTAGCCCTCAGAGGCCTAAGGAAAGTGGCTTTCCAGGTATTTAAAACTTAAAATCAGGTATCCTTTGTGCTTTTTTCCAGCCCTATCACTTGCTAACTATGTGCCTCTGGGAAGATAACTTCAATCCTCAAGCCTCCATTTTCTCATGGGGATAATGGGACCAAAATGCTCTCCTAAAGGATAGAAGGGAATTTGATCGACAAATCTGGAGGAGATAAAAATTTGTCAGTTTGACACATTGTTCAAAAGTGAATGTCCCCAGTTACCGGTCTTTTTATACACTGATAATATTGGCATGGTTTGTAATTTTGTATTTCACCATATTGAATGGACAAAATAATATACCTTGATTATCTCCAGTAATTTCAGGTTATAATATCTCGTGCTCCATCTCATGTCCTGTATATGATGCATAGAAATTGTAAAAATATAAACTGATTGAGAATATGCACTTTTTAACCAACATATGAGTTAAAAAAGAAAAGAATAATTAGTTGAAATTAATCTGGTCTTTTTAAGGAGAGATATAAATACCAAAAAGTCCCTGAACTCCAAATTATTTCCTTTGTTGTTTAGAATACTTTAACTGGTTATTTTAATATAAAATCAATGCATGATTATTATAGACAATAAAAACTAAAAACAAACAAAAAGAAAGAACCTTCATGCCTCTACCTGCTCAGCAGCAACAACCATTAACTCCACAGTCATGTCCTTCCAAGGTCTTTTCTAGGCATGTGTGTAATTGTTGGGTTTTGTAATAATTTTGTTGTTTTTTTATAAAGGCAAGATTATGCCATATCTGCAGTTATATAGCCTGCTCTTTTGCCTAATGTTATAAATGTGAGTTTATTTCAACTTCAATGGATACATTTTTTTGTGTGCAACATCAATTTAAAGGCTATGTTAGACGCAGGGCTTTACCTTGTACCATGTTTGTACCATAATAAACTCATAAGCACTTGGGTCATTTACAATTCCTTTTATACAGAAAGCACAGAGCAGGTACAATTATTTTAAATGAATTGTTAATTGAAAAGTATAGGATGAAAAACACAAAAATCTGAAAAACGAAGTACAGAAAGATTCCAAAAATTTTACAAAAGTATCCCTCAGAGTTTGTGAAAATTATCAAAACCTAATAATTGAAGATATTCATATTGTTGGACCACCTTGTTATTTTGACTGTTATCATTGTACTGAATCAATTTGTTTAACCTAATGATCTTCAGTCCCTTTCATGTTGACAGCTCATGAGGACTAAGGCAAATGATACATGGAGGTATCTGGAGGGTTCCTGGTATGGAGTAGGGGCCATCAATGCTGATCCCTCTCCTCCCTTTCTTTTCTCTTAGGAAGGAAAGAGGCCACCACAGGCTTTGAGGGTGTCCTGTATAAATAATAAGCTCACCAGGTTTTCCATATAACATACTTTCATCAACCCTGGTATCACCTGTTTTCAGGAAGGCAGAATTGGGACCCATATTTTCTTAAAGAGGAGACAGGCAGTTCACCAGCTCTGTTTTCAAAAAGCATTTGCAGTGATCTAGTGTGTGTTACATGCTAGCAACACAAAGGGACAGTAAGATGTGGTCCCTGCTTTCTAGGAGGCCACAGTATAGTGGAAGAAACCAAGTACAGAGAAAGTCTCTTACGGGAGATATATGGTGGCAGAGAGGGCACCTGAGTCAGCCTGGTCAGGGAAGTTCTGCCTTGGGGCTGATTTCTGAATGACTAGCTGGTGGCTCCTTCCCCGTCATACTTATTCCCTGTGTGCCACTGCAGGTCATCAATGCCATTGAGCAGGACTATCGGCTGCCCCCTCCCATGGACTGCCCAGCTGCTCTGCACCAACTCATGCTGGACTGCTGGCAGAAGGACCGAAACAGCCGGCCCCGTTTTGCAGAGATTGTCAACACCTTGGACAAGATGATCCGGAACCCGGCAAGTCTCAAGACTGTGGCAACCGTCACCGCCGTGTGAGTCTAGTGAAAAAGAGTGACTCCTGGAGTGGGTGTTCTCACGGTCAAGGGCATAACTGGCAGCCTTTTATTATGTGGAGAGCAAGGGTGGGATGTCAGCGCTTATCCGCTAAAGGGAGAAATTCAAACACTCTCTCCTTCTTTTTCTATTCTATCTCTCTAAAATATTCCCATATTCTCTACCTCTAGCATAGGCTACAGACAGTTGTTAAGAGTTCTGACTGAGTCTCTACTGTCTGTTGGCTTCCAGCATACTCAGCACTGGGCTTTATATTGATCCGACTGGTATGCCCCACTTCTCAACAATCCTGTTTCTAGAAGGCACTTTTTGTGTTAACTATATCAGTCTTCTAGGCAGGTGGAGCTGCAGACTTGGAACCTTAGCTAACATTTTGGCAGGTAAAGGCCCCAGTTGCTATGGGCTGGAGAAATACAGAGCAAATGGGCTTGATAAGAATGAATGCACAAAGTAGCTCTCAGCTACTATTAGCTGTGCATTACTCAGCTGTGTTTACATTGTTAACTCATTTATTAATTTCTCTTTTCAACCAAAGTTTGTAAAGTGGCTACAGGCTAAGCACTGGACTCAGTACTGGTACTATAAGAATAAGTAAGACATTGTTCCTTCCCTCACAGAGTTGAAAATCATTTAGGATTGGCAAACATTAATCAGATGATCATGAAAATGCAAAATTGACACCCTAATGGCCACTGGGGCAGGAAGGTGCACAGGGCACTGAGCACACACCTCTAACTACAGTAGGGAGGTATTCCTGATGACTGTTATCTCAGCTGAGAGCTAGGATGTATTCACTGGATGAAAAAGGAGATGGGAGTGAGGGATAAGGATGCAGCATGTGCAGATGGTGAGAAGGCAGAGTCAGTGTGTTGAAAGTATAGTTGGCTGGGGCTGAGACTGGTGAGGTGGGAAAAGTCAAGAATACTCAGTGCCTTTAGTGATGCTAAGAACTTTGGCTTGATATTCAGAACAATGAGCACCTATTAAAGGATTTGACATATATCAGAGTCAAGGTGAGGGTTTTTGGCATGATTTTGTCTGCATTTTGAAGAGTTCATGGGTACAGTATAGACCATACATAGGAGAAAATTTCACAAGTAATGATAGAGAAAGTAGGATCATAAACCAGAGTAATATCTGTGCGAAAAAGTGGATGAATCTGAGAAATTCGGGAAAAAAACTCTTTGTAACTTGGTGAAGGACTGGGTGTGGGATTGGACAATGACAAGATGGCGCCCTAGTTTCTGATTCAGGTGCCTATATGTCTACATTAAGTCTGTACCAGAGAAGGTCAGTGGTGGGTTTCTCTGTTCCATTTTTTTTCTTGTAGCAGAGGATGACACCAGCATGGAAAAAATGTTAGCAACAGGTTTGGGGAGGTTGTGGCGAACTGTACATACCACATTTTTTAAAAGAAGCACATGCTTAGATGGTCAGATTCCTAGATTTCAGTTGATAAAGGAGTAGGGGGTCTTCACTTCACTTCAACTGAATGCTGTACCAGTCTGTTTTGAGTGACCTGAGACAGTGCCCAGAAGCAAGAGGACCAGCCACTTGGCCTTGGAAGGGGTGCTAATCTAAGATTCTATAAGGAATGAAGAAACAGCACAAGGCTCCATACCATCAGGGATGCTGCTGTCCATAATATCTGCCATCAGTCCAGAGAGTACCTCTGCTCAAGTGTCTCTGAAATCATGGAATCAATTGTTCCTCTCTGTCTTGTCAGGCCTTCCCAGCCCCTGCTCGACCGCTCCATCCCAGACTTCACGGCCTTTACCACCGTGGATGACTGGCTCAGTGCCATCAAAATGGTCCAGTACAGGGACAGCTTCCTCACCGCCGGCTTCACCTCCCTGCAGCTAGTCACCCAGATGACATCAGAGTAAGTGACACAGTCCCCTCTGTCCAGTTCACAGGGTTCACCTTGCTACTGCAGGTGATGTTGGTTGACTTTCTGCGGTCATCATCCCCACTCCTTCTCTGACAGAACCAAGCCCAAGGGGAATGCCATGGAAAGATGAACAGTGAGCCGGATAGAGATTAGGGGAGAAAGTGGAGATCTATCCTGGAATCCAAATCAGATTTCTTCGAAGTGATAGCCATATGTCATTTGCCTAATCACAGAGAGTCTCTTCCCCATACAAGTTTATAAACTTAACCCATCAAAGAGAGTATCCAGATGGAAAGAACACAGCCAGCCAGCACTTTAAACAACATAGCAGGAAAGGCATTGCACCGATTCAGCAACAATCATGCTGTGTGGGGAGCCTTACACTTAGGCAGCTCCTGTAAATAAGCACACATTTCTATCCCCCACAAATTATTTACCAGTCTGCTGCTCCCACAGGAGTTTGGTGGAATACACAAAATAAAATTATTCAAATAAGATGAGAGCCAGAAAGGGTCTTAAAGATCCATGTGGTCTATCATTTCCCCCAGAATGTTCTGAGTAGCACCAGTTGTGGGAAATGTTAATAGGTTCTCCTTGGAAAAAAGGTCCCATGGTCAAATAAATTTGGGAAATACTGCATACTTTATCACCCTCTTGGAGATTCACTGCTCATATTAGCATTATAAAGGCCATGAGAAATCCTGAAATAAAGAAACACATATAAAATTATTAAATACCCTAAAACCATATTTTTGAAGGACAGGTTTTTATGGAACTGCAGTTTGGGAAATATTTATCTAGTTTCACTCTTCCCGTGCAGCAGATTCTGAAATGATGTGACATTGGTGCTGACACGTGGCAATGCTGGGGCAGAAGACTGCTTTTCTGGCTGCCAGTTCTTTATATCCAGCTACCTATTTCCCACCCACCCCACCCCCACCCCCATGCCACAGGGGTTCTTGTACTTTGCTGGTCACTGGGATCTTCAGGGGATCTTTAAAAACTACCGATGCCTGGGCCCACTCCAAGACTTCTGATTAACAGGTAGATGGTGAGACCTGAGTATTGAGATTTGTTAAAGCTTTTCAGATAGTTATAATGTGTGGCAAAGCTTGGCAACCTCAGTAATACAGTGGGCAAGGTTCAAATTTTGCCTTCTACACTCACAGAAGCTCAGATAATACTATCTAGGAAGTCAAACGTACCCCCACACACACACACACACACACACACACACATCGAAAGGACCTCACAAACTGCCTGAGCTACAGTATATACTAAAAGTGTCCAGGTAGGCTCTGGTGGCCTGTGAAACACATTTCCTATGGTACAGGATCCATTAATCCATCAGGCAGTTGACATACACTAACTTATCACCTTTTATAAACCAGGCAAAGTGCTAGGCTCTGGGAGAGTCCTCCTACTCAGGCCATCTGCTGAGTCCGGGAGAGATGGGTGAAGCCTTACCCTACCACTTAAGCTCTAGAGCAGAGGGACAGCTTCCTGACACTCTGACCTCTTTGTGTCAACCACTCTGTGTAGTTTATTCTTATCAGAAATAATGGAGCTCCAGTTGTTCCAAGTAAATCATTTGAATGTGCTTCTGGCCTTGAATCCACTAAATATAAGAATTTTTTAAAGGTTTAGTTACTGATGATGCTTTGAAAGGACAGGCCCTGCCATCTTGAATGATTACCAAATGGACAGTGAAAAACAAAAATAATATTAAAATGAAACACACCATGGGAAAACCAGCCTCCCCATCCTGCAGAGCTAAAATGGACACCTCTAAATGATCAGAAGACCTAAGAGAAATGGTGCTCACAAAGACAAGGGTGCTCTTACTTTCCCACTGTGACGCCTATACATGGGGGTAGTTGTCATGTGATCTCCCCATAGTCTATAGGTATCAAGTGAAGTAATTCTCTCATTCTGGGAATAATCACTTGAAAAAGAACTAGGGGAAGACTAAAAGTCAAACTAAAAATTAAGGGACTTAGTTCAAAGTAAAACACGTCCATGTAGTAGTGGAGCAATTCAATTTATTTCTTGAGAGATAAAAGGTGGAAAAGGAAAATGAGCAACTCAATAAAATAGATCGTGGGGCAATTTGTGAATTCAAACTTCAAGCAGGCTTCCCAAAAGTATTTGGGAAAAGCCATGGGCAATTTGACTTTCCCAACTAGCTACAGTCTGTAAAGGATTGATGACCGTGTAAAAGAGGAATGGAGCAGGAGAGTTAAGACATTATGGATGCAGATCCAGACCAGACTCCACTCCAGAGTCTACCAGGCTAGGCAGTGTACAAAGTGATTTGTTTTGCTGTGGTCAGGGGCTTTGGAAAAACAACTCAAGACCATTAGCAGATTTCTAAGGGGAGCCCTGTTGGGGGACCAGTTGCTAAGTTGTCTTCTATTGAGTCCTCAGTCCACCATTGCTTACCTGCTGTGTTAACTTGAATGCATTACTTAACTTTTCTGAATGCTATTTGCTTTGTCTGTAAATGTGAATATAATAATAGTACCCATCATATTGGCTTGTGTGAGACAAACAGAAGAGCACACGCAAAGCACCTTGGTGCCTGACCTGCCCCTAGGATGCACAACAGAAATGGTTGCTGTGAAATTATTATTATCTTTATTTCTGCAGTGTTTTGTCAACTTTAATGAAATGCTTTCCTTTGGCTTAGTTGAGATAGTATATGGCATAGAACATGCACTCAATCAGTGTCATATATCCTAATTATTAACTAAGGAGATGCATGTGTTTCCCTAAGGTCAAATTTAAGCCATGAATTTGTTCATACTGATATTCACAGCTCATTGATGAATCCAATCCAAACCCTACTCCAGACATAGTCTTTGGATTCTTGCTTGGGCAGATATTTTAAAGTTATTTTGAGATCACCCTTCTTAAAAATGCATGACATTAAAATTCAAACAGAGTTAGAAATTGAAAAGTCAGGGGAAAACATCAGAAGACCAGGCAAGCCCCACATCTTTTCAATCTCAGTGGGTGTTCACTAATTTAGGCAGAAAGCTCCACAGAATAACTGAAGTCCCATAGAGTGTGTACTGGGAGTGCTAAAAGAAACAGCAAAGGAAAATTCCAGTCAACCAGAGGGTCATGAATACAATGAAAGGACTAACGCAGAACAAATAAGGGAGGAATAAGGCACAACCCTTTCAGATTGGAGGAGGCATTGGAAACTAAGGCCATTGCAACATCATAAGCAGGAATATAGTTCATTGGAAGCTTGCCAAAAACTTGGGTTAATTTAGGCTACTTGGATTTTAAATACTTTTATTTGCCTACTCACTGATTTCCAGGAGTTTACCTTTAGTGATGGGTTTTGATCTGTGAAGTGACTTCTTTTGTGGCTTTTTCCCTCATAGGGACCTCCTGAGAATAGGGGTCACCTTGGCAGGCCATCAGAAGAAGATCCTGAACAGCATTCATTCTATGAGGGTCCAGATGAGTCAGTCACCAACAGCAATGGCATGACAACTCTTGTTTTCTTGGAGGAGGAGAGAAAGGAAAAGGACCAGTGTCAAGGGGGAACCAGATGTGACCGCTGTGGAAAATGCTGGAGACCTGGGCTTCTCAGCTGGGAAATGCGTTTCCATCAGTGAAGAATGAACTGGACATGTTGCTCAATAGGCAACGTTCATTTCTCAGTGACAGAAGCATGTTTAAGATGCCGCAGGAAACCAAATACATAATAATAAAGATAGAGAAAGGTGATATTTTACAGAAGTGGGGACAAAAATCATGTGTATCGGAGAACAAGAGTGAACTCAGCTCCCACCCTCAGTGGGCCAGAGTTGCCTGTCTACAAGAAGAAGGGAAGGAGGTGGAAGGAAGAAACAAGCTGTGTTCCATTTTCTTCCTCACCAATGACGTTCTTTTCTTTTCTCCTTTTGTCCTCCTCCCCGAGAGTCCCTCCCTCTCCCACATCCATTTCCCTTTGCTCATGACTCGTGTAGGGAAGTTACTTCAAACAAACCCAGCTCCTGAGTCTCCAGATGTTGTTCTGTCAGTTGCCAAAGGACTTTGCTGACCACTGCATGGGGATCCAACCAATTCAATTAATGTCTTCATATTGAAGAAGAGATGTACCTTCAATTGAAAACCTTGTTTTTCTTTTGTTTGCATTTTCTGCAAAAAGGAAAAAGAAACCACAAATTGGAAAAAAAAATAGAAAAACCTGTTTCCGTGTGCAAGAGCACACATATGTATGTCTGCGTTATAAAATGACTGTGCTTGTTCGTAACAGATGCAAACAAGAAAAAGAACTGGGAAGTTTTTACCCCTGGGAAATTCAAAGGGGCTGGAATACGTAGTTGCTTTGGCTTTCTGGTTGGTCCAGTGGCTTCTTGGCTCAAAGGGAGTAGAGGAGTGAGAAAATAAACAAAATGAAAAGAAAAAATTTAAAACTCTCAAGAGTTTGCAAATTCATACAGGAAACAGGTGAGTGGTTTGAATTGGATGCAGTGTGGGCCATTCTGGAATGATACTGACTGATTAATTTTCTTGATAACATCTGAAGAAAAGGAGAAGGCAAGTGTTTCTGGAGAATGTTCTTCCACATCCCTGGAATCTGCAATTTAAGAGGTGGCAAGGGAGAATTCTTCTTGCCTTACCTATGGACTGGCTTAAGCCCTGTGGCATCCAAGGAATGTTTCAATTGTGTCTGTGTTTCTCTTTACATTCCTTATTGTACCTCATTGTTCAATTCACTTTTGTAAATTCCACCTAACATTTAAATATTTTTGATTTCTCCTTTTACCTTAATCTCCTTGCTAATTTTATCTGTCTAATTAAAAGGAGCAGAAGCATGTCTGGGTTTATGTAGAATGGTGTCAGAGTGTATGTCCCTGGACCCCAGTGGGTTGTCCCCAAGCTAGGGGAGAATCCCTAGTAACCATCCTTCTTCTTTGTAATGTGGAGGGGAAGGAATAATTCCTGACCTCCTGCCTCCTAAGAAGTGGAATATAGTAGACTCAGTGTCACCTCTGCGACCCAAAGGAAAAACTGAATAAATATGAGGTTCTAAACTACAGATGAGAGGTAAAAGAAGTCATCAGCTAATAAACACAAACAATAATTCTTAATAACCCATCAACACTGGGTTTAGTTTACACACTGTATTTGAGAAGCTCATGCACTGTGTTTGATAAGGCTGTGCTGGACTGCTCACTCATGGTGTCTGTGAATGTGAGGCTGTAGTGACATGAGGCAGAAACAGGCACTCTTGTTCTCAAGTAGTTAATTGAATACATATTTAAGGCAGTATCATCCTTTTCCCTTCATATTTGCTAACTATGATTTTACAGGTTCTGACATGAGGTCACCAGCCCAGATTCACTCTAGTAGGAAGCTCCTTCAAAGAGGCTTGAACCCAGGTGAACTCATCATGGACTTGACCCCTGAAGGATGGGGGAAATGGACAGAGCTCCTCTCAGCAGATTCAAATGTAGCTGCAAAGGGCCTCAGTCCAACCAGGCAGGCAGAAGACAAAACTTCCCCTTATTAATTGCTTGCCAATTCATGCACAATTTACTAATTACCCCAAAGACTTCAATCCATGAAGTGTCTTACAAGCCTAGGCAATTCGACTAATCTACTCTCAATTTTCCACAGGAATGAGTTTTAATTTGTTACCAAATTCCTCAGGCAATGTCTTTTAACCCAAATTCTTTATAAAGCTCCACCAAAGCCAGCATTACTTCTGACTGTGGAGAAAGCAGGGTCCAAGCGAAGGTCATGTCAATCCCTTTGGTTTGGTGTCACCAGAAGATCCCAGAAAGGAGAGAGGAAGAGAACCCTAAGTTCTAAAAGAAAGCCCAAAGGGTCAGCAGAGCCCAAGCCAGTTCTCAGTGGCACAGCCATGCCCTAACTGTGCCCCACAGCTGTCTTCCTTCATGTCAGATTCCAAGCTGCCCCCCTCTACCCCTGGATGAATACAAAGCAGGAAATATAGAGACTGAGGAGTAGCACAAGTGAGAGAGACTCTGAGGCACTGAGTCAGTCCTTTGTCTCTCTGAGCCTCAGTTTCCTCATCTGTTATAATAGGAAAACAACACCTACCTTTGATAAAGGCTATCAAACATTCCCAACTGGCTGCTTGCACTAGACACTTTTTTGTGTCCTTTCCATGTCTCAGTGCTCTTCCTCACCATAACTGTGTGAAGTGGTAGCAGATACTTAACTGTACCCAACTTTAAGATGAGGAAACTGACAAAGACCCTTCCCAGATCACACATAGTAGTAGGATTTTGACTCAGGCATCTGACACCCTGCTCTTAACACTACCCTCAGTGGGTTGCACACCAGAGCCTGCACTGGTATACTTGGAAGGATTGTTCAAACCCAGATCACAGTGCCCACCTTTGGGCTTCTGACTCGGTAAGTGTGGAATAGAAGTGAGAATTCACACTTCTCACAAATGGCCAGGTGGCGATGATGCTGCCGATCTGGGGACCACACTTTGAGAGCCACCACATCACACTAACCTATCTTCCTGGGAATTCGTTCTATTAGACGTGTAGCCCATGGTTCAGGAAATGATAGTTATTGAGGTTCTTGAGATACCCCAAAGGAGAGGAATAAAATCCTAGACCTCCTGGGCATGAAGTGATAGGAGAGGTTGAAGGCCCTGTAGTCTGTTCTCAGCTCTGGGGAACTTCCTTCACACATTCAAAAGAGCTCCCTGTGGAGAATGTTCACGGGCAGCAAGACTGCAACCCTCTAAATTTCAGTTACACATGCTGCCTCACCATCCCGCGGAGGGCTAAATCCAATGGGAACCTTTCCTTCAAACATATTTTGCATGGTGATCAGTGGCTTGTGGTTTGAAGAACCAAACTAACAAGATGGAATTTGCAGCCATCTGGGAAGCTCAGAGGTGGCTCACAGAGAGGCTGGAGGTGTTTAATTAATGTTCCTGGGTCATGGTTTAGGGAATGGAGACAATTGGTGTGGAGAAGTCCTGGGGATTAGACCCATCTCCTGTGCCTCCTTCTTGCTCCCTCAACACTCAAAAAAAGGAGTGAGGACTTGTGAAGAGACCAGAGAAAATAGTGAGGATGGGGGAAGAGGACTACGGGGATATCAGGAACCACAAGAAGAGTGAGGCAGAGGACAGGAGGAAGAATCTACAAAGGATCAGTTAAAAATTCAAGATCCTGTCAGCTCTGTTTTGTTCGAAGAAGGCCTTTATGAGCTACCCTGGGAATTTCATCATCATTTAAAAAATAATAATGGCTCTGTCTCCAACTGGACTGAGGTCATGATTAGATCCTTGACAAGTGAAGTGAGGGGAAGACACAGCTGTGACAGGTGATCACCAGCAATCAGGCACCATCCAGCATTCTCAAAGGATGCCCAACACCAAAGGATACCTGAAGATTGGTAGCAGGATGAGCTCTGCATACAATTACAATTTGAAGTACACACAGAAGTTACAGGATCATTTTCAAAAGCAGCCTGAAATTTTACATTGTCTGTTAAACCAGTGGGGGAACTGAGGACAGGCAAGAGTAGAAAGGAATCCTTGAGGTCACAGAAAGATTCTCAAACGGGAAGGAGTGTCTAGTCACACTGGAAGGTCATTCAAGCTCATTGAGATCTAAAAGTGACTGTGTTCACCATCCGGGAGTCTTTTGAGACCAGTAATTTCCAAAAGAAAACATGTGCACAGATGTTAGAGAATGCACTCGGTCTCTGGCAGAGTATAGGCTATGGCAGGGTTGGATAATGTGACGTCAGACCTGACCAAGGATGGATGGGATGGACAGACTCCTGTACAAGTGATGGATGGGCCCCATCACATACTTTCATCCCTCCAGGTTTTATCTTGTCATCACAGGTTCTTGATGAGTTCTAGTACTGCCAGGAGTCATGACTTGCCAATAGCATCCCAGCAGGAACCTCCTGGTGGTTCTCTGAGCAAGAATGGACATAGAACACTTCCTCATCTCTGTTCCCATCCTCAGCACATTGTCTGACTAATGGAAGTTGCTCAGAAAATGTTTAGTGAATGAAATTAGTTTGAACTAAGAAAGTTTAACAAGACATTACTTCACCATGACCTTAGACGACATGTTTTAAAATAAATCAATCCCTGGGTATTTTGTTGGAATCTTTCTCAATTACTCTTAACTTCTATCAATCGTAGCCTACCCTAATTTTAGTTTTGTGAAGTTTAAAACACTCCCTTTCAACCCTGTCTGAATCTTTAACACGATGTTACAATCTTCCCCAGAGCTCCAGCCTGGGGTACAGCAGCCTCCCACCAAGTGTCAGTCACTGCACAAAGGCCCTGAGAGGGAGAAATAAATTTGATGTCATTCCTGATAAAATGGAGCCAAATCTGAAGGGCAGGGAGGAATAGGGGCAGAGGACAACCTGTCCTTCTGAGAGCACTCCAGGAAGTGTTCACTGCCAGGTAACATTTGGTTGGGCAGGGCTTCTTTGGCCAGGAAATCTTCATTGATGTTTTTATAGCCTCTCTACACTAAGGCTTGCTTCCAAGAGTTGTTCAACCTTCCTAAATCTATCCTTACTCTGAGAATTCCTACAGTTTACCAAAGAGAAAAAATAAAATTAAGAAAACAAAACAAAATTATGAGCAAATGAACTCCTTCTAAGCCACTGAGACCAAGCTATTCTGTTCTAAAATAGAGAATCTGTCTTCACCCCACAAAAACTTTGATTTCCTCCCTGATAATATTGAAATCTATATTTGCATGTATACGAGCAATTTCTATAATACTGGACATGGGTTTCTGACACAGAATATGATGACAAGTAAGTTACAACTAAGGTCTTTATAGCAGAACTCAACATTGTAAGTAACTTCAACAGGGAAATGAACAACCCTGCAGGAGCACAGAAATGGAACTCCATTGTCCCAGGTGGCAGAAGAAAACATCCCCCAGGGGGTCTGCTAAACTAGAATCTGAGAAGTGGAGGAGCTATTCAGTTGGGGAAAATATAAGTGGTAGACATGTCTGTAGGGTCACATACAATTCCATAAGGCTGGGGAACACAGTGCTGGAGGCAGGGTTGCTGGAGGAGTAGGCAGGGGCTAGATCATGAAGGGCCTTATGATAAGGAATCTGGATGTTATGAATGCAAGAGGTGGAAAGTGGGCTGATGGAAGAGAATTTTATTTCATACAAATCATCGTGACAATAAAATGGAAAATGGAATGCCAAGAACTAGACTTGATTCAGGGCGATCAGTCAGGAGGTTGGTGGAATGATCTGGGAAAAGGTGATGGTGGATTGATCTGGGAAAAGATGATGGTGACCTGGATGGAGATATAGAAGTAGCAGTGGGGGTGAAGAAAAGAAGACCCATCCAGAAAATGTGAAGAAGGCAAAATTGGCAGAAGGGGTAGGTGGATTGGCTGTCAGGGATGAAGGAGGGAGAGGTCAAGGGTGACACTCTAAGTTCCTGGTGTGGGTAACTAGATGGATTTTTATATCATCAACTGAGATTGGGAATATAAAGGGAAGGAAAAACTGGGACTTGGGGATAGGGAGAGACAATGTCAATTTGAGTTGCCTTTGGGCAATTACATAGTAATGTCTACAATTTAGCAGAGGTTTGAAGACCATCTTTTTCTGGATGGTAATTAAAGCCATGGCAGAAGAATTTATTGTTTGAAATTCGAGTGTCAGAGAAGCAAGCCTGCATGGAACTCTGGGACACAGCCATACTTAAAAGTTACCCAGGCAAAGACTCTAAGGAAGAATCTGGATAGAGCCATCAGAAGAGAAGAATGAAAATTGGAAGCCTGCAGTGTCCATGCAAAGAAAAACATTTCAG